AGCACTTGACTAATTCAGGTACTTAGCATCACACAGACAGGGACGGTTTGAAAGACGCCTGTGTTTACGGTAGGGAGGCCTGTTGATATAAACAGGAGCCCCCGGCAGTAAGCGACACTAATCTCCCCGCGGAATGGAAGCTGAGAAGAGCTTCCCCGGCCCAAGCCACCGCCCGGGCCCCCTCCAATAGCTTCCCTCCGGCCGGCTTCGAAGGCGCCCACGCAACCCACGCACTCACTCCCAGCCCCCGGTGGCTGCCGGCGGCGGGCATCTCCCTGGCATGACGTCCATGGGCAGGATCAGCTTCACCGTGAGGAGCCTTTTGGATTTACCCGAATCCGAAGGCCACGGCAGCAGCCAGGAGTCCCAGCAGACCCCAAGCTACGGCGGTGGAGGCGGCGGCGGCGGCGGCGGCTCCGGCCCGCTATTCCAGGAATGGATGGAAACCGGGCGAAGCCACTATCTGTGTAAGTGGGCGGCGGACGGGGGTGGGGGGCGCGAGTGGGGCTAAGACCTGAGAGATGCCTCAGGGAAAGGGGGCACAAAAGCCAGAGGCGACCGCCGGACTGCTGTGGAACAGGAGACGGAGTAACGAAAATGAAAGAGTAACGGAATGAAATGAAAGAGAACAGGTAGCTGAATCCCATTCTTTCTTGGCGAAAGACTGGGCGAAGATGCTGGATGGAGAGAGAAAAAGAACTGAATCGTCTCATTGGTAGAATGCACACTCGGCAGGAAGATAAAAATAAATACATTTAATAAACGGACAAGCAATGCCGTGTGTAGATGTCAATGAGAGAGAAAAGTAGATGGCAGGGACATATATTGAGCTAAACCCAATTTTAGTCCCTGCAAGATGAGATTCTTTTAAATGAATGGGACTTAATAATCAATAATCGAGTAAATCTCATTGATACAGTGGGTGTGCTTTGTTTGGGACCAACAATTGAATTTAGCCCATTGTGCGGATATGTGTGGAATGTATTTAGGTACACCATCATAGGGCTCACTCATTGCGAGTCCAGAATTAGACGCGTATTTCCTCAGATATCTGGGCACAGCACTGAAATTTATAGAATCGCTTCGTTCCTTTCACACGGCAGGTTACCTATTGTTGCCGCTTAGATATGCTTCCCTAAAGGTGTTGTCTGGAGATAGCATCAAGATTATTACTTAAATGGATATTCCTACAAACCGAAACAATAGGGCATTAACAACTCTTTTGAAAACAAATGTTGCAATGGCAGCGGTTAGTGTTTTCCTTTGCCTTTTTGTTGCTTATAATTAAAAAATATCTCCATTATGATTTACTGGCTTTATCTAACCTTTTAACAAAAAAAAAAGCCATCGTAAGATAAACACACTTTTTAGAAGCAAATTCCCGTTGAATTAACATGCATAACGCACCATTATTTTTTTCAAGTCATTTTTCACTTTAAAAAGCATATAATAGTAAAGAAACAGTACATACAGAGACTTCACATTACTTCTTCCTTTTTATGGAGGTAAAAAATTGAATATGAGGTCATAAAAACATAACACCACCTGGAGTGATAACATAGAGTATGCTATTTTGTATGGGCAACAAGATCAGATATATTCGTGCATATATTTCCCGTCTTCTTTGCAATTTTCTTCCAGGGGTTCAGTTCCTTTAGTTACAAAATATACTTCCGTGTACCAATCGATATTTTCGTATTTCTGCCACAACAATATTAATCTCCAGTACTTATTTTATTTCCTATTTAACAGCGGTTCTAAAGTACTGTAAGATGTCTAGCTAAGTATCTCTTTACTTTGTAACACGGCCCTTAACGGATAATCTCTTGCATATCTGATTATGAGGACATGGTCCCACCTACCCACCCACTCGTTCATCCATCGGTTCATCTTTGATTGCTCTCCATCAGAATCACAATCGATTAAATCCAAGCGTTTGAATAGATTGAGTACGAACTCGGGGTGACTGCTCATCCAACTGAGAGCAGGACCCTCACGTACTTAAGTCGGAATTACTTTCACTGAACTCAGAGGGACTTACTCTTGCTTGCTTGTTGTTGTTGTTGTTTAGTCCTTAGGTCCGACTTACTCTTGCTTGTTGTTGTTGTTGTTTAGTCCTTAGGTCGGGTCCTACTGTTCGTGACCCCATGGACCAGAGCATGCCAGGCCCTCCTGTCTTCCACTGCCTCCCAGAGTTGGTTCAAATTCATGCTGGTAGCTTCAGTGACACTGTACAACCATCTCGTCCTCTGTCATCCCCTTCTCCTCTTGCTTTCACACTTTCCCAACATCAGGGGCTTTTCCAGGGTGTCCTCTCTTCTCATGAGATGGCCAAAGTATTGGAGACTCAGCTTCAGGATCTGTCCTTCCAGTGAGCACTCAGGGTTGATTTGCTTCAAAATGGATAGGTTTGTTTTCTCTGCTTACTCTTGCTTAGATCCGTATAAATAACTCTACGACTCCTCTCTTTCCTTGAGAGGTTTGTGGGGCTCTTCTAGGCATCAGAAGTGAATCCCACTGAAGCGAACTCGATTGGCGCCCAGGTGGGTGCGCGCAAGAGGGCCAGCGCCCACCGCTTCTTCTCGGGTCTTCTCGTGAAATCCACGGGAAAGCGCGCCGCGGGCGATGTTTCGGAAGGGACGCTTTCGCGTTCAGTGAGCTTTGGCGCGGCGCTCACATTATGAAGGGGGTTGGGGAGGATGCTCAGTGCAACCCACCATCTTCCCTCCTTCCCTCCACTTTGACTAAATAATGTTTCTCCCTAACCTTCTGAAAGCCGGGCGGGCCCTTCTGTTCCCGCCGCATTTCAAGCCTTGCTCGGAAAGCAGCCTTCAGGCTGCCCGGCCGCTCCACCCTACGCACGTTGGTTCGGAAGGAGGTCCCACTGAAAGCAATGGGACTCCCAAAATGAACAAACGTAAGAGGTTGACCTTGCACGAAAATGGGGTGGATGCCCTTGAAAGGAGACGAGTCGACGTCCAAACCAACAACCTCTGCCGGATCTTTCTGCTAAGGATTTCAGCTCCTTGCACTCAGGCTTAACAGGGTCCTGGGTCCGCTGGGGAGATTCGCTCTTGAGTCCGTTCGCGCCTAATTTCATTTACCCTGAGGGGGCTGATCACTCTAAGCGAGCCACATTCCTGTATCTGTAATGGGCCGCTGGTACCTAGGTCCGGAAACAAAGCGTTCGAAGCTGCCGTCTTCTTCTTTTCCAGCCCACTTTTTCAGGACAAATTCTTAATTTCTTTTTACCACTTTTCCCCGCGATGAGCAGAAACGGCTTACTTTCTGAACCCTCCATCTTTCACACAGTCACTCCCACAGAAACGCACAGATGAGGTGTAACTCTGTGGAGAGCCGAAAAATTGCACGCTTCTAGTGGCCCGCCTTGCCAATATGCATTTTTTGGTAAACCTGGTCCACCCGCCCACTCCCCGAAAAATTGCCTGATGGGCCTTCTTTAAGAGATCGATCCTGCCAAGCAAGGATTCTGGTCAACCCTCGCCCTCCATTGCTTTTCCTTCCCTTCCTTTGTTAGTAACGGATTCCTTCTCAGATAAGCGAGAACCGACTGCCGGGGGAGCCTTCCTTGTCTTTCTTCTCCTGGGAAAGAGAGAACACTATTGGTTCCTTTCTGGAAGGATGTCACACGCACATCATGAATCCAAAGCACGCCCTGCTACCATTAACACATTCCTCAAGCATTTAACGACCACATCCCCTGGGGTAGAGCCGCGAATGCGGTCAAAACCAAAACACACACCTACTCCGCGGCCCCCAGCTTCTCTTGTCAGCAGACTGACCGTCTTCCTGCATTCGCTCCACCTTCGTCTCCTGGGTACGTCTTGGGAATCTTTCAGTCCCTCACGGCTTCCTTCTTACATGAGAGTAAGATCCGCGGAACTGACTTTTGAGTTAGTCATCTGTAGATCTTTTTAATGGCTATGCTATATAGTGCGGTGACAAAGTGGCTTCACTGGAAACCAGCATATGTACTGATTTGTCTACTTGCGTGGAGGCAATAAGAGTTTAATATGCAAATATGAGACAATAAAATATACAATTTAAAATATTTATTTATATGTTGTATAACTTGCAATGCAATATTATTATATCATGCAGTTACAAATATTTTATTATATTATAATCTTACCGGGGATTTCTGAAAGGTGAAAAAAGAAACCTAAAGTCACTGAAGTGCCAGTATCTAAACAAATATAAAGATATTCTGCAGTGCTGATCCTGCCCACCTGTCGGGCTTACCTCTCTTGATTCCCAAACGTGTTCGGACTGAAGGCAACCGAGGGATGGTCCGGGCTGCGTCTTTTTCCCTGCCGCCTTCGCAGCTCCCCTTTATCTCCAAAGGTTCTTCTTACCGGAGCGTATTGTTTGTGCTCCCGGGAGACCAGTCCAGCAGTTTCAGTTTAGCCCCCTCAATCTCCTGGACTGTGGGCGGGCACAACACATCAAGTTGTGCTTGAAAAGGCCAGAGTGGAACGTCGGCCACGAGTTTAACAAGAAATCGGAAGGGGTGGGGAGGACGTCCTCAATTTGCATTCATCATTTAAGACCAGAGGGAAAAGCTAGGAGCGATTTCATAAAAAATTCACACTGAACAGCAGTTTTAGTTGGATTAGGTTTTAGGAGGTTTGTGTTATGAATCCCACTGGGTAACCAAGAGCCAATGATACTTTCTCTCGATGTTGTTGTGAATATAAACTGCGTAAGAGGAAAGCCATGGGCACTGCCTTGAGATCATAAGAGGAAGAGAAGGGGAACATAATAAGTAAATAACAAATTAATGCTCTCGGCTAGATGTTGATTAATCCCGGAGATGGTTGTTGCAGGCTTGTTTGATCAGATCACTTCGTGTGTGTTCGTGTTGATAGGAATAAACACATAATAAGTGCGATCAATATTTGTCCGTACAGTATGTTGCGCGTGCTACGTGTCATCAAGCTAGAAATGACCTTTAGCTACCCTAGTAGAGCTTTCAGGGATGTTTAAGGAGAAGTTTTACCAGCTGAACTCTGTCCCACCATATGAGTTTCATGGTCAAGCGGGGATTCCAACCCAGATCTCCTAAATCCTAGTCCATCGCTCTACCTCTCACAACACACTGGGAATCATTCGTTACAGTACACATAACTGATCATATAAGGTTCACAGCTCATCTGCAGATCCGAAGAAAGGTCTTAGTTGTTGTGGGCTGTTAAGTCGCTTCGGACTCAGCGACCCCATTAAGGCTTCTGAGGTACATGAGATACTTAAGGAGTGATTTCGGGGGGAGGGCAACCCTTGAGCGAGTTTTCACGGCTGGCCCAGGTCTCCCGAATCCTAGTCCTTCAATGTATCCGGCGCACTTCATTGACTCTCTCTACCTTCCTCCCTTCCCACCCCCCCCGCCTCACATCCTACCGGAATTCTCCCCAATACTCCACCTCAGTTTCTCTCACGCGCTCTCTTTCCATCTGTTTCCCAGCTGCGGCCGAGAGCGGCGCTGCCAGCAGATCGCGCCCGGCGGCCCCTTCGGCGAGCCCGGCGGACGAGGAGGAGGAGGAGGAGGAGGAGGAAGAGGAGGAGGTGAAGAAGAAGAAGCGGCGGGTGCTCTTCTCCAAGGCGCAGACGCTGGCGCTGGAGCGGCGCTTCCGGCAGCAGCGCTACCTCTCGGCGCCCGAGCGGGAGCACCTGGCCCACTTGCTGCGC